ACTTATGTTTTACGCGCGCACCAACGTGTTCGCGCGACGAAAAACGCCGTCCGCCCGGGTCGGCTAGCCATGCGCTGCCGCGTGTTGTTTCGCCCGGGCGGTGGAGGTGTTCGCGTCGTTTGCCGCGCGGACGAGGTCGCCACCGCCGCCCCGCAGACGGACCGCCACTCGCCCGCGCCTGCTGCTTGACCACGCGTGGTGAGAGAACATGGCGGGGCGCGTGCGACCGATTGCGGGGCGACGACGGCCGCGAGCTGGTGGACGGCGCCGTCAAGTCTCGCTCCCAGCAACGAAGACTTCACCGGCTGTTCGAGGAAGGGACGGGAGTGTGGGGGTTACGGAGGTTGGTAGTGGGGAGGGGGTTTTATCGTGAATGATATTTTATCACTCTCTTTCTCTCTCTCTACTCTCAAGGTTTCCCCTTAGAGATATGAACCATCTTGTTTCTCGACTCCGCTAACGGGAGGTGTACTCGCTACGCACGACTACGCCTGCCCGGAGTGGATCGGACGCAAGACGTGAGCGATATACGATATTGCACATAACATGACGATCGAGTCGTATGTGTGTGTGAGTTTCCGAATTTGATTGAAAACCTTCTGGTGGTGATGACTATGCACGAATTGGGGGCAGAAAAAAGGGGGGGTTAGTGGTTGGTGGGGCGAGGGACGCCGGGGGGCAACGGGGATCGCGGGCCCTTTGGTGCCAACAATTCAAAGGACACTCGTTCCACGCCCCCCGATTATTATTATTTTTTTAAATAGTATACAAAAAAAAAATAAAATAAAACATAAGTATTGTCGAAAAGAACAGAAATCGATTTAGTTTGACGTGAAAAACGAAAAGTGTATTGTTTTTGTTTTTCGTTTTCAAATGTGAATTTGGGAAAACAAGAATACCGAAACCTAAAAAAAAACAAAAAATAGAAAAAAAAATACCGGGGAGTTTTATGTTGTATTTTTGTTTTTTTTTTTTTACACATCTAGAAACACTTTGCCTTAACATACTATAATATTTTTTGTTTTCAAACATTAATGATAAATATATAATTATAATGAGTTTATTCAATTAAAATAGGGCATATTTAAATATATATAATAATTATCGATTGCTAATTCATTAAATATATAATTAAAATTATTACAGCACAATTATAGCGAGGTGTTTGTTACTTGACTTAATATCAATAATAATTTGAATATAATAAATATATTCGTTAAATAAAATTACCTACCTAAAACGTATAGTAATAATAATAATAATAATAATAATAATTGTAGAAATGCATTACATACTTAACACCTAATGATGATTTTCGGTTTTTATTTATCTCTCCATACTCTCTTTTCGTATTTACACAAACCTATATATATATATAAATATGTATATATGTATATAATCTAAACATGTACTACGGAATACTAAGCGACCGTAAATGATTGCGCTAAATTTTATATAATTTCATAACTCGTTACGTTTTTATAGTACGTTTTCGTTAAATTGTATTAGGTATTGGTTTCCAAAAAACCGCGCGTATTACATTTTTTTTTTTAACGGCGTCAATAAAAAATAATGAAAAAAAACCTATAATACTAATAATCGTAATAATAATAATAATAAAACAAACAAACAAGTAGCGTAAAGGAACTTTCAGTTATCGTATTTTTTTTTTTTTTATACACACATAAATAATTATTTCTTTTCGTATAAATCGTAAGTGATTTTCTTAATACGAGGAACTACGTACCTTTTTGAGATAATAAGGGGACGAGGGGGGAAAAAAAGGAAAACCGAGAAATCGAGATTTTCTTCTTTTTTTTTCGCCGTTGATCGTACAACAATACGGTCGAGACGCACGTAAAAACGAGGAGAGGCGAAAAACGAACGCGACGAACAAAAAGGTTTTCAAAGTGCCGTGTGAAATATAATATAATACGCACTGCACACACGCGCGACGTATTTATATGATAGTGAGTGTGTGCGGGGAAATCGCAACAGAAAAAAAAATCGAAAAACCAAAAAAGAAAACTAAACGAAAATCCTCTCCCCAGGAACATCAGTGTGTGAAAAAGGAACTTTGGGTTAGTTATACACCGTAAAAGTATAATTAGTAGTAATAATAATAATCGTAATAATAATAATAATAATGATGATAATAGGATACATACACGCACACGCGAACATAATATTGTCATCGCACGATCGGCGGGTGGGGGTGGTTAAGAACCGCAGTGGACCACCGCCCGGACGACGGGCACACTACTGCGGGCGGTCGTTGAACTCGTTGGGGGTGAAGGGTAGTATTATTGGCCGCCACTGGGTACGGCTGGCGCCACGTTGGCGGGCGGCACGGTGAACTTGTTGTGCATCTTGGCGGTGGCCGCGGCTGCGCCGGACTTTTTGTCTGCGGCCGGCGCGCAAAACAGATTGGCGTTCGAGTCGCTGTTGGGGTCGCGCGGCGACGGACTCCGACCCACCGCTTTGGCCGCGGCCAGCGCGGTAATCTGGTTCACCACGTCCTCCATCTCGTCCGACAGGTTGGGCGGCGGCAGCAGAAGTTGCTGATGCTGCTGCTGCTGGTGCTGTTGGTGCAGCAGCTGTTGGTGCTGCTGTTGGTGACGACCGGCCGTCGCGTAGTGGCCGCCGGCGTTGCGGTGAGCGGTCTCGATGTGAGCGCGCAAAGCGTGCACGGTGCCGTAAGTATTGGTCTCGCCGTTGGCTCCCACGCCGCACGACCGGCACCCGTACGCCGGGTGGGCCAGCGCCACGGACCCGGTGGTGCGGCACTCGCGCTGCTGGTGCAAGGCCAGGCCACCGTTGTCCGGGAACGCCAGCTGACACTTGGCGCACGCGTGCCCGACCGTCCGGCCGCCGTCGATGGCGTACCCCTCGGCCGGCAGCTCGGACGGCGGTGCGGTGGCCGCCACTTCGACCACGGCCGTCTGGTCCGGTCGCACCGTCCGGCACCGGTCCGCGATCGCCTGTATCACCGATTGGTCCAGCTGCAGCATGCGCACAGGAGTGCCCGAGCCCGTCTGCTGCTGTTCCTGCGCGCCCGCCGCCGCCGTCATGGTGCCGGTGGACGTGTTGTTGCTGTTGCTGTTGTTATTGATTCCGGTATTGCCGGTCGCGGTGGCCGTCGCCACGTTACGGTGCTGTTCGCTCGCCGCTCGCATCCCATTGGTTGTGGCCGAGGTGTTGGAAGCGCCCGCTGTAACACACGAATCCCATTAATTAATGTTTACGAATCGTTTGCTTCACCATATTTGACCGATGATTAAATTCGAACGTGCATATGCATGTGGGTACAACACCGTTTCATTATTCCTACAACGGTTTCATCCCTTTTAAACATTATACCCCACCCACCCGTGGAGTACAGCCCTTGCGATTTTCCCTGACGCAATATCAGTCTCGAGTAATTTATGCACACAACGCGTTAATGGTAAGTGTGTCGTATTGGTCTACGCGGCGTATCTTCGAAACGGAACGCATCCGTACAGGTATCGTGCTCTACAAGAGAAAGTCCGAACCGTATTGTGTTTTTATCGACGCGTAAATTTCAATTTTAATATTCGGCCAACGAAACGAGTCGAGAACCGGATTTCGGAAACGCTTTCGAGAGGACGTCGTTGCTGCAGCCGACGCGTTTCGTTTCGAAAAGACTTTCGGCGCGGAGTTCGTGGTTAATACGCGGCAATTAACAATCGTTAAGAAATAAAAACGCTATTACGATGACGCAGAACGATGCGTTATGCGTTTCATAACAATCGGTACTGCCGAACATCAACGGTGACGAGACGCGCAACGTATCGGTCGTATTCATAATGCGGATGGACAGAATAACGATCGTCTCGGTCGTTCGGTTAATAATTTGTTGAACACGGCCCGTAGTGATTTCAAAAGACAATTTTAAACGTTATCTGTTGTTAACGAACGACAAAAAACCAGTTTTAGAAAGAAAAAATAAATAATAATAATAAAGGAAGGACCCAGAACGGGTCTGCCGCGCCGATAAAACTCACATCGTGTAAAATACAACACGGTCGGGGATTAATGGACGCGTCGAGTGCGGTTGTGTATGCGATAACAACCGTCTTTCCCCTACATAATACGTGTACGGAGCACTACCATCGTGTCGTGTATACATATTAATGTGCCATGAGCGCAAGCCGGACGACACCTTTGCTCGGCGGCTTATTATTTTATAATTGTTTTTCAATTGACCGAAGACACCACTCGTGCACACATCTTTGACTTGCGCCATGTGTTTTACCGTAAAACAATATAATATATGTAACGACGACCATACAATATAAATGTGTACTTTAAGACCGGAACGACGACGACAGGACCTGTATGGTTTAAAAGCGTACCCGTGTGCCGTGAACTTGTGTACGTGTACCTAAAATATATACAGTGCGTATGTGTTCGCGTGCGCCCCATAGCAAACAGCTGTACTTAGAATAATTAATTTCTTATGAGGAAAAACGCACCGCTCGCGATGACCATCTCATCGGGCGCACCGACCCGCCACCTTCCGATCACCTCCCTAGATGTATAGAAAAGAAAAAAACACACGCTTATATGTAGATACATTTTTTATACGAACAGGCGTACACGATGATGAATAGTACATTATGGCAGTAGCGTTATATGGTTAAACGTGTGTGTGGGGCGATTTGGTGGCAACTTGGTGCGTGAAATTTTCACCGTCGGGCTTATTATTATCGTGAACACGTGGCGTTTTTCGTCGAGGTGTTGAATGTTATCGTGTAACACCGAGAATATACGATTTGAAACGTGAAGCGGTTTTCTCCCCCCCCCCCTCAAGTATTCCGTTCGATATCCTCCGTTACGTGTTACGTTCACGGTCACTTGTCAGAACTTATCGTCCGTTGAAAAACGATTTTTTAAATGTTTATTTTCATAATCTCCGTGAGCGTAAACAATACATATTATATTTTTTCTCCTCCGCAACAGAAACATAACTCTTTTACGCGGATCCGCCAGTCGTACAAAGTATTATGTCGTATTCAGGTCCTTACACGCATTGCGTGGGTGTACGTAACAATATTTCTTTCTGAATCCGTTTAGATTAAACAAATTTCTCATTTCAACTATCGCCGTCCTATGCACCACCGTCGCCCAGACGTATGTCTTATTCTTCGCGCATATTATTATACGAAATCTTTACGTGTCACGAATAGGTTTTTGACCGATACGCGCGTTAATGACGCGTGGTCGATTAAAAAGAAGAAGAAAAAAATAGAAAAACCAATAAATAAACCGACCTAGGCATAAAATTAGTCTTACGGTCCTTTAAACGGTCCGAGAACGGGGGCGGCAGTGAGACGACAACGGTGAATAATATACTCGACATCGAAAGGTACACATATAAATACTTGAACTAAAGTATGCAAATATATATTTATATACGTGTGTGTGTTAATATAATGATTATATGTTTTTTTTCCGATTATTTTTAAAATACGCGCTTGAATGTTTTGTACTCGTTTTCCATTAACACATCCGAATACCAGAACATTGTCACGCGCGTTTCTCTTTCGCGCATTATTACATAATAATGCCGTGTGACCCCACTGCCGATATAATAATACACAGGAACGTTTGAACGAAGCCAAAAATAGGATAACGTACGAACAATAACTGCGTATTCATAAGTAATTTAGCTTCTCGGAAGATTATTAATTTTTCATCCGTTCCGTGAATATTTTTTCATTATTCGTCTCGTTCTTTGTTTTATCACGCTATTCGTTTCAGGCATAAGTACGCGCTAGTACAGTATAAATCATGATACTACCCAAATCGTCGTAAATAAAAAACAAAAAAAAAAATTGTTACGCAGAAACCGCTAAAAAATCTTGGTATCGATTGGAACCCACGACAATAATAACATTTATCGCAAAATTCGTCCGTTCTACACGTATACGACATACCAACGCACCAGACTATAATACCTCCAAACAATATAATATATTATATTATAATATCGACCAACCTATTATACTTTTCGCCGTTTTCGATTGTCTTTGGGGTTTCTTGTTTTTTTTTTAATTGAAGGACGACCAGATTATACACCGCAGACACAATACACGAGGTTTTTTAGCAAACATATCGCACGTGGCTATTACACACACGCACAGGTACATACACACACGTAATATGCATTGTTTCGGCGGTGGCTGCGCGCACACGGTCAGATCGTAAAATACTCGCCACCGTTGTTGATCGTATTTGCAATAGTAATTATCAGTGGCAGCAGCATCGTAAGTAGACGAATTATGGACACAGTGGTGAATTCAGGGGAGATGTACAAGGGCACGTGGCCCCCCTGTAAATTTTCTATCGACAATTTTTTTTTATGTTACATCGAGTATCATTTAAATGAAAAACACAATAAATAAGAATAATATTATCTTCTAGTATAATAATTATTTAAATTTAAACTGGATAGATATGTTTGCCAAAAACAAAGACTTCAATTTGGCCTATAAGGCTATAAAGTATGATAATCTATAAAAATATTTTTATTTATTATTGACTACGTATATGATTAATAACTTGCCTATAGGTAACAATTATTATTATTGTGTTATCAATACTGTATTAAATATATTATCAATTTTGTTTAAAATAAGAATTTGTATTATTAATTATGATCAAAGTATTAGTATCATTGTACAATTTATATGTCCCCCAACCCTATCAAAATAACCAAGATCCGCCACTGTATGGACACACACATCGTGGACACAGAACATTTACTGTACCACCGAAGTGTAATAGGAGCAATAAACCGTGTACAACAGTAATAAGTACAGTAAGTTGATGTAGGTTCGTGAAGGGTGGTAGGGAAATCGTTTCCGAAAACGAACAAGTCCTTGCCGGCGGATTATATTATTACAGCAACGACGAAGATATTACGTATTATGCTAATGCGACAGATCGACACACACACGTATTAAACGTACGATTTTTTTTCTTATATAATGTATATGATGTATATACGACTGTGTGAGTCGCGTACAAACGTCGCGACACCGCCGGTAGATGGCCTTTTTTATTATCATTATTATTATTAATGGCTTCCAGTTTTTAATTTCCAAGAAAGTAATGCGTTTCGTGTGTGTATGTGTGTGTGTGCGCTACAGCGTTCTTTCCTTAACGAACACCGCCGAGTCGTATAAGTATGAACGACAACTGCGGCGGCGTCGGTGGATAAAGTAAACGTATACAAAATGTGTCAAATGCAAATGAGCGTAGTAATAATAACCACGTGAAAGATTATAAAAATTATAAGAAAAAAAAAATAAGAAAAACACAAATAAATAATGGAAACTAATAATGAAATATAGTCGGATGAAGGGCCCACGTTTGGACCTCCACCGTATATACCTGTATTATAATAATAAACTATATACACGTACACGCATGCACGAATACACACACAGGCACGTATGAGTGGAAACGAAGAAGAATTAAACGCGGTGCTCATGCGATGTGCTCGCATATAATTATAATAAGAAATCTGAATGTGTCTGCTGTGTGTGTATATGGAAAGCCCCTGGAGGTGTGATTGTTAATTTTAACATCACTTTAATATGTAAATTAGTAACAGTTACTAATGAGCGACGGCTCCAGTGCGAGTAAATCTCCTTGTCTACCACCACCACTTGTCTACCTCAGGACCTATTCACCATTCGATTACGATTATTATTATTATTATTATATTATTAAAAAGTAGCCGCAGTCGTAGTAGTAGAAGTAGTAGTATTAGTGTGTAGTATATATCAAGTAAAATATGAAAAGTGTTACAATACTGTAGTAGTGGTAATGCACCCCCACGTGATTCCTAGAAATCCGATTTGCATTTAAAATTGGTAAGGCGTTATAATTGTCGTTATAAACATCTACCGCCATTGCAAAATATGTATCACCGCACACAGTGAATCCTTACGATCACGACACGTACCGAACACATATTTTTCGTTCGTTATTGACCGTGATACGTATGACACATTAATCGTGGGACATTTTTGAAAAGGATGCGCGCACGTAAGACATTTTTTTTTTTAAATACTACGGACAAGGTACCTTTTGTATTTTACACACTTATAAATGTATGATGTATAAATGACGCCGACCGCCACATACGGAGATTATTTTCGACATAAAATCGAATTTCGA